GACGAGGCTGCGGGGCCGGGAGCGGCCACTGCACTCCAGTCTGGGCGACAGAGTGAGACTCCGACTCAAAAAAAAAAAAAAAAATTCAGAGCCAGTTGTTGATAACTGGTCACAGGTGTGAAAAGAAGAAAAACATGCAAGCACACAACTAACTGATAATATCTATTTCAACTTAGGAAATGGTGAGCGTGATATTGTAAAATATACTTTTGGTTTTGTCCCCTTTACCAGCATACAACTCATAACATCCTTGGAATCTCCAAAGTGATATCTCCTTGTATGTTCATGAGTTGACTGGTGACTGGCAGCCACTGGGTAGCTTCATGATGGTGTTCGTCACTGGAAAAATCAAGGCAGGATTAGGACTTTGGGACTTTCAGCCCCACTCCAACCTTTGGGGAGGAGAGAGAGGCTGAAGGTTGAGTTGATCACCAATGACCAAGGATGTAAGGGATCATGTCTATGTAATTAAGTTTCCACAAAAACCCAAAAGGACTAGGTTCTATAAGCTTCTATGTTGCATGGAGGTTCAGAGAGGGCACACAATTTTTCTACCAGCTCCCCCATTACTTGACCATCTAGTGTTCATCTATATCCTTTATATATGTAAGCGTAAGTAAGGGTCTCTCTCAGTTCTGTGAGCTATCCTAGTAAATTAGTCAAATCCAAGGAAGGGGTCATGAAAACCCATGTTAGCAGCTAATTGGTTGGAAGCACCAGTGGCCCAGGCTTTCAAATGGCATCTGAGGTGAGGCCGTCTCGTAGGACTGAGTGTTCAACCTGTGGGATCTAAATTGAACTAGAGGACATCCAGCTGACACTGCTGGAGAATTTGCCAGAGAACAGCTTGGTGTGGGGTGGGAAAAACCCACACATCTGGGGTCATAGAAGTATTGTGTTATGGTAAATGAAGAATAGGAAAAACACAGTTTTTTTCCTACATCCTAAGTGAGAAAGGATGGGTAAATAATCCAGTAAAGGGGAAGAAGTCCAGCAAATAGAATGTTCCAGGGTCTCAAAAATTCTTGTTCTGTTCATAAGGCAGACAAGTTAAACATATTGATATGGGGTCTATATCTGGCCCTGTGTTTTATTTCTGAGGGCAGAGCTATTAGAAATTTGTATCCCTTTTTAGACCTCCCCCTTCCCACTTCTTGGTCCTGGTGCACTCTTCTACATCCCATGGAGGGCTGAGGCCAGGCTTCTTGCCTTATCCCTACTACTTTAATAATAATAACTCAATGTCCTTGATTGATACACAGGAAATGAAGAATTTGTACTTCTTCTCCGGTTCAGATACTCCCTCGGGTCCTGTACCTCACCATACATCCTTTCCTTGTGTCTACACAATTTCTGAGTTAAGAACATTATCTGATGGCATAGTAAGAAAAGAGTGGGGAAAGAGAATACTCAGAAGCTAGGCACACCTGAACGCACACAATTGAGGTTCCTTGGCCCCACTGAGCCTTCATGTCCTCCTAATATATTAAAATGGGTTTTATAATATCAACCTTGAAGCGTGGTGGTAAGAATCAAAGAAAATGAGCAATTTTCCATTTGCACGAGACATTAGCTATTAATAATAAACTCAAACTATTTAAGTTTTGAAAATATGCTCACTAAATCCAACCTGAGGCATGCACACTGCTAAATTTCATTTTCTGAAGATGCTAGAATTCTGCCAAATACTTCCAGTTCATTTCTAGACTGCAAACGAAGCTCTACATCTTCATTTTCCAATGTGCTCCCTCTCGGCTCTGCAGAGCTTATCACCAGTGTGTGTAATTAAGGGACTTAGTGCTTAGCTGGCATTCCAAGAGGCATAGCCCCTGCCCGGGTGCCACCTGCCAATCTATCCAAATTTGTTTTATGCCATTCTGCCATTTCCCTCTCTGAAATCCTCTTTTTGAAGAGAAAGTTGGAAGAGACATGAGACTGGTTTCTCCTTCCCAGTGGTCCTTCAAAATATGTACAATTTGTCTTTTTGGAGAGCTCACTCTGGACTTGCCTATTTAGCCATTACAAGAGAGAATTCAAAGGCGGTAACAAGCAATCCCTGTTTTTGTCCTTTACTAAGTCTCTGAAGAGAAATACAATCTTTCTCATTAGAAAATACCCGGTGCTCTCTGATAAAGTCAAAGTGTCAGGCCTTCAGCAGAGGAAGATATTTTAAAAAATTAAAATCATCTAGACTGAGGTCAGAGTTTTAACTTTTCTTCCCATCTGATCTGAAAATAATCATTACCTTTAGTTTTTATTTTTATTTTTATTTGAATTGGAGTCTCACTCTGTTGTCCAGGCACGAGTGCACTGACACGCTTACAGCCACCACAGCCTTGACTTACTGGGCTCAGGCGATCCTATAGGCACATGCCACCATGCCCACTAATTTTTTTTATTTTATTGTAGACATGAGTTCTCACCAAGTTGCCCAGACTAGCCTCAAATCCCTGGGCTAAGATAATCCTCTCACCTGCGCCTCCCAAAGTGCTGGGATGATAGGTGTGAACCACTGAGCCTGACAACCATTACCTTTAAACAGAAAAGAAAAATAAAAAGACCTTCCCCCACCCCAAGGTCACTGTACTAAGAATGCACTCAAGTCCAAATATTGAGGTAACAACAGGATATCAGAGTGTCAGGAAGTTCCTAGATGGAGCCTTCAGACTTTCAAAGCATTCCCACAAGTATTATCCCACTCATTCTTTGTAACTGCCTTGGGACTGCCATTATTAAATTCATTGTTCTGAGCAAGAACATCTTTAAGTGTCACAATGGTCATCTTAGGAGTAGTGAGTGACAGAGAGAAGACTTCTGACTCCAGATCCAGTACAGTCCTGCTAAACCACAGCCCTGACAACCTACTGAGTTCCAGAAGCAAGGTTTCTTGCTATTTTTTTTCCTTTTGACTCTCCTTTTGTCAATAACCAAGACCCCTGAAAATTTCTCCAACTGCCAGACTGTGTTTCCATTGCCTCTAGGACCTTTGCCTTGAAGTCATTCTTACCTACAGAGGCAAGACAGTACTCCTCTAATCGCACCAATAACCACAGTATTTCACCTACACTGTGGATCTGTGAACAGAAACAGATGACAATAATAGCATGCCCACAAAACGCACCCCTATGAAAACACCTTCAAAGATGATTAATTAGTCTCTCAAACATGATTTTTATTTTTTTGTTTTGTTTCTTTTTTGTTGTTTGTTTGTTTGTTTGAGTTGGAGTCTCACTCTATCGCCCAGACTGGAGTGCAGTAGCACGCTCACGGCCACCGCAGCCTCGACCTGCTGGGCTCCAGCGATCCTTCCGCCTCAGCCTTCCAAGTAGCTGGAACTACAGGCACGTGCCACCACACCCAGTTAATTTTTGGTTTATTGTAGAGATGAGGTCTCACCAAGTTGCCCAGGCGGGTCTCGAACCCGCAGACTCAGGCAATCTACTCACCTCAGCCTCCCAAAGGCGCGGGATTACAGGCTGAGCCACTGAGCCCAGCTTCAAACATGATTTCTGAAAGCCAAGACAATAGTTAATGAATAAGTTAAAGCAACATGGGCCATTGCTTTACTAAACTCTGGTATGGCCATGTGCTCTTTGAGCTATGGTTGTTGTCATGTTTTCTAAGTTTTGGTCCCCTCCCATACCTTGGGAAAGTGAATCTCTCTCTCTATCTCCTCTCTCTTCTCTCTCTCTAATTTACTTTCTAAATAAACTATATTTTCCAATCTAAAAAAAAATAAAATAAAAAGCAATATACCCTACATCATGTACTCCTTTCCAACAGCCCTAACCTACAGAGTCATGTCTGTCGCATTCGATATTCACAAGGCCTCTTCCACGCCGAGTCACTGGTCTTACTCAATGAACACAGTTGTCCTGGTCTAAATCCCTCTTTCCATGATATTCCCTAAAATTATACAATCACTGCTCTCAGATGCCTAAATAGATGTGTGTACTAACCCCAAACAAATAAGCCTGTGAATCATGTTGAAAGTACAGTTTTTACATTATGAGATTCAGAGTCAGAAACACTTGAGTTCAAAAACTGGCTCATCATTTTCTGTTTAAAAATCTTTGCACTTCAGAGTCTCTGTCTCTGACACAGAATGGTTATACCTAGACCTCTATGGATACTACTGTCTGTTAACTTCTTCCTCTTTTTAAAGGGACCACTATTAGTACATTCCTTTTCCAGGTACTGCAATTTCATATGCCAACCAGGATAATTCCAATTTCATTTGTCAGATAAGTAAGAGCAATTGACTCTTGAGACAAGAATGACAATACGCTGGGGGATATCCGGACTTAAAAAGTTGCACCCAAGAAGAGAGGTCTCTCTTTTCTTCTGCTGGACAGTGTTGAATGTGATAGTAGGAGCTACTGGAGCTTTCTAGCTACAAGTGGTGGCAATTTATACTCTGTGATCCTCAACACACAGGATCACAGAGTGTAAAGATCAAAAGTACCTGGGTTTCAGGTATCCTCGTGGAACTGCTGAATTAATAACCTACATTCCATCAAATAATAAATATCCTTATCACTTAAGCCATCTGAAAGCGGGCTATTATCCACCCTTTGAAGCTGCAAGAAAGCATAAAAATTGAAAATAACAATAGCTAACATCAAAAAAGTTTTCAATGTTAAGTATTATGTGAAACATTTTGGTATATTAACTTATTTATCACAGTAAAGCTATGAGGATATTAGGAAACAGCACAAAGAGGTTGAACAGCCTGCTCAATTCACCCAGTAGGGGGCTGTCAAGTGGGAGTTTGAGCAAAGACCATCTGGCTCCAGGGCCAACTGCTATGCAGAATTGCTTTCCATACTTACATATATGATCTCATATGGAGGTGACAGGCTTGAGTTTAAAATTAAAGCCATCACCTTTCTGGCGATGACGACCTACCCACGAAAACATGCCTCTCACAAAGGATCTCCTTCATCCCTCTCCAGCGGAGGAAAAGAGGAAACACAAGAAGTGCCTGGTACAGAGCGCCAACTCCTACTTCATGGATGTGAAATGCCCAGGATGCTATAAAATCACCAGAGTCTTCAGTCATGCACAAACTGTAGTTTTGTATGTTGGCTGCTCCACTGTCCTCTGTCAGCCTACAGGAGGAAAAGCAAGGCTCACAGAAGGATGTTCCTTCAGGAGGAAGCAGCACTCAAAGCACTGTAATCAAGATGAATGGGAAACCATCCCAATAAACGCATTTTAGATATAAAAAAAATTAAAGCCATCTAGATAGTTCCTAATGAAAAACTGGAGAAATTCAAACATGCTGGTAACTTTGCAATAATGCAGATTTTTTTCTTTTAAATCTGCTTCCTACAGTATCAGGCAACTCCTCACTCACTATAGTAGCTTATGCTCACACTCCAAATATCCACATCTTTAAGTGTGAGGACCTAAATAAAAGTCCTAAGCCCCTATGACAGGCTAACAGACCCTCCTTTGGCTAAAAGACCCCACAATTTAAAGTTTTCAGCCAGGCATGCAGGAGGCTGATCAAGTTCCATTTGCTTCCATATCCCCTCACCCCCACCCTCTCACTTAAGCCATCTCCCCAATCACCCCAATTACCACCAGATTTTCTCAAAGGCTGGTTCCCGAGAACAAAAGGCCAGAGAAGCCCTTTGCTTACTTCATACAACCACCCAGCGCCCTCCTCCTGATTTTAGACATGACAACCATTCAAGTCCACAAGAGTTGCTTCTTGATAAATGATTGCCGGCCCCAGACTGGCTTTGACAGGTTTCCTGAGGATGCACAGTTCATGAACACATGCCCTACATTTCACCTTTTTACATATAGAACCTAAAATGCATTTAAGAGTTAACTTTCTACCTCAGAATGATCAAGGGTCATCATGTTTCCACACATGTAAGTCTATTATGCTTGTATACAGGTCTTCGTGAATATTCATAAAATCTCCCTATATGTATATGAGTGTATGTACATATGTATATATCCTGTTGAATATGTATACCCTGGTGCCCCATTTAGCATATATTCCTCCCTCTTTGTCCCGTTTTGAATTGTGGCTTTCCAGTTTTTGACCAGAGGCTCACTTCTTGCCTGCAGATCATAGCCCCTTTAGAAATAAAGTACCCCTTTGAAATGTACTGACTTTGTGACTCTTTTTCAGTCAACAAGTTTATTGTTCACAGTAACCCTGACCATGAACCTCTCAGTGGTATCTTGATGGTCTACGCTATTACCAGCGACCTGGTCTCAAATGAATCCCTCTCACACCTGATTCTCAATGCTAGCTTTCCTTCTGTCAGGAGCTTTCAATTCATCATGCCCTCAAGTTATTTCATGAAGAACTAATTTAGTTTCTTCAAGCCAGCCTAACAGAGTAGTTTCTGGCCATGCAATTGTACTAGGACTCGTTTTCTTTTTCTTATCTCCAAAGTATTCCCATAATTTTCAAACGCCTTTATCATCCTGTGCAAGTAATTTGATATAAGTCATTCTAAGTTCACATGATGACATCCAAACCCAGTCTAGAAGAGTAGTTCTTTTCATCTGTTGCATACACGTGGGTGTCTGACCTTGTTGTCCCTCCATCTGCAGAAGCATGAAGCAGAGAGCAGAGTGGTGAGCAGAGTGGTGAGATGGATTATGTTTTACCATGAGGGAAGAAGGGCCAGCAGAGAACCGCCATTTGCAGCAACTTACTAGAATTCAGATGACTGAGTCCTACACCAGACTTAACACTTCAAAAATTTATGGAAAAGGCTTAGGGACATGCACTGTAAACTGTTCCCTGAGTGGAACACTAATGCACACTAAACTCTGGGGCCAGGCACAGTGGCTCATGCTTGTAATTCCAGCACTCTGGAAGGTTGAAGCAGGAGGATAACTTGAGGCCAGGAGTTTGAGACAAGCCTGAGCAACACAGAAAGGCACAAAAGAATAAAGGAGCCAAGAAAGTAGGTTTGAAAGGAGTCGGAGGACCTTCATGTGGTATTTAAGCCTGGTGGTAAAAATGCCTTTCCTTGTCTTCTTTTCCTTTGCTCTCTTACAATGCATTCATCACATCCCACCTCATGACCTCACAAGTAGGTTATTAGCTTGAGAGTTTTATGGAGCCTATATTTAATACTTCTTGGTATTCTCCACGTGGCTTGGAAACTAAGAGCTAACAATTACAGAACACCTGTGAAAGGCAATGACTAAGCACGTAGAGATATTAACTCTTTTAATCAGCCTCACAAAGCCATGGTGCTGTCATTTTCCCCTATTACAAATACCAAAACAGAAAGCTGAAGTAGCTTGCCCAAGGTCACACAGCTGGTCAGGGCTGATCCAGAACTTGACCCAGGTGTCTAGGTCGGAAGTTTGTTCTCTATCAACAGCACTGTCATGCCAGATGTAAGAGAGAATTATGGGTAGTTTTTGCTTCATTCCAGTCAGCAAGTCCGTGAATATATGGCACTTCCTTCCGCTGAACTTTTTTCTCATGCCTTCTCCTGCCTGGAATACACTCACATCTTCATAATGAGGTAAAGAGCCAGCAGAGAAATGCCATTTGCAGAGAACCGCCATTTGGAACAAACCTACTTTCTTGGATCCTTTATTCCTTTGTGCCTTTCTGTGTTGCTCTGTGTCCCTTTACCTCATGTCCATCCTTCAAGGTCTATAGCTAGTTATGGTTCGTCAAACCTGGCAGTCATTTCAAAGGTTGAAAGCATGGGAGATATTTCCTTCTTTACAGGTTTGTTTCTTGAAGTTTAAGTCATATACATTAAATGTTAATAAGCACTATGCCAGGTACTCTGCTAGCATGTAGACTAGGTAGCTATATTTAATGTTCTTTTCACTGTCCTATTCTCTTTCTTTAAATCTTAAGACAGCACCAGACTTAGGGAAGGTCTTTTTATACACACTCTTCAGTGATGATGATTCAGAGGCAGCAACACCAGGAGTGGGAATTAAAATTCGAACTCCCTTCTTATTAAGGAAACTTCCAGCACAGTGTTTAACCATTTTAATTAACAAAAACTCATGCTACTAATTATTCTTAATTTCTTCATGAGAGAATGCAAATAAGACAGAAAGTGAAAAATTCACAGCCCTGGGCACAAAGTTAAATCCTATCGCTGACACTGGAATATTATATGATTTGGGGCAACTCGCTATCCTGAGTAGGGGTTTGAGGCCAGCTATACCCCTGAGTCCCTGGTTTACCAGGGTATTAGCTGTGTGAATTTAAACCAATGCTTCAAGTTATCTGGGGATGCTGTAAAAATCAATAGTTCTGGGGGCAAATGATTTGTATTTCTACAACCAATTTTGTATTTCTAACAAATTTCAAAGTGATACTGATTCTCATGGTCTATGGACCACACTGAGTAGGAAGAAATTTGAACACAGTTTCCCTGTCCACAAAAAAAGGAACAGCATCATCCTTTTCATGAGGATGAAATTGAGATAATTCATATAGAACACTTAGCACACAACCTTAGAAAGCACTTGAAGGGTATCTGAGATACTATAAGCAAAACAATGTTAGTTTGGAAATATTAGGATGATGGAATCTTAGGTAGGTTCTACTTCTGTCTAGTATAAAAAGGGTGGTGATGGCCATTCTGAAATTTGATCCTGCTCACAGATGTGTGACAACCTACTAATATCTGAATAGCACCTATTTATATAACAAGGATTTTGGCTTATAGGAAGGATAAAAGTTATGGGCAGCCCTCACCTCTAAGTTCACCCCCACCCTAGGACTGCTTATTTATCCTGTCATGTGAGTGTTTTAGGTAGGCTCTGCCATGATATGTTTACTTCAGTGAAACACTGCAGAAATTAAGGGGGATAACTTTCCATAAAACATGTGTATAATTGGCTATGGAAGACCAACACATCATATCTACCAACGAGGATTAATATGCTCATAAAACACTAGCAGTAGCAGTCTTTCTTGCCAGCTAAAAAGAATGCATCATCCCTTTGTAGTCTCTTGTATTACTAATTCATGTTTTATTTATATATATTTACAAAATACTCGAATTTTAAATATTAAGTGGAGTGTACATTATCACAGATAATCATCTTTCCTACATTTGCTTAATGCTGAACTTAAGAAGGAAAACCACATTCAATCAATATAAATCAGTCCCTCCAACATGTAGAAAGTTTTATTTGTTAACACATCAAATAAAGCACAAAATAGTATTTGCTCAGAGGTAAAATACCAGTGCAGAAAATCTGTAAAGCTCATGGGAATCTTATATTTATTAAACATACATTCTAATGACGGTAGGAATGGGGTAATTGGATCCAAATAATTTATTTCAATTCTGAATAACAGACAAGAGTTTACATTTGCTTGTTTCTTCTTTTGGATGCAAACTATTCAAGACTTGGGAAGTTTTTTGACTGATGTGTTTTACATTTGTCCTTCTGCCCTTGAATAGAGATTTTAAAAACCAACATTCTCAGCTAAACTTTGGCTCTGGGTGACTTGAGAGGCGTTTCTCCACAAACGAAGCTTATTTCTATCTCCCTCCCAGCTTCATACTCCTCCACTTGGGGGCTCTGCCCATGTAATCTGCATTTGAAAGCTCTTTTCCCCCTTCCTTGATATCCCAAGTATAGAAACACAAAGGAAAGCCACTTTCATCACAAAAGCTACATCTAGAGGACAAACATGTTGTAGGCTATTCTGTGAGGCCTCTTCTAGCTTTTAGCCTTGGTCAGGCAGCAACTGAAGATCTTAGGAGAATTTATTTCTGGCACTAAACCTCTATGTAGATGGGTTTATTTCAACTGCCTCAGTAATCACATTTTCTGAACTGTTAAATTTTCCACAGAGCAGCCTCATGTCTGACTGTCCACTCAGACACTCTTTGGTCAGACATCAGATACTTATTGAGTAACTAGTATGTACCAAATGCTGTGCTGAGTACTGGTAAACAACTCAGATTTGTTGCGTAACCTCATGGAGCCCAAGGTAAAACACTCAGAGGTTCAGGATTAAGACTGCTGACACTCTAAATGCTACTTTTCCCCATTTACTTTACAATTTTAAAAATTGCTGAACCCCTATTAGAGAAGTTTTAAATTTTATTAAGTAACCCATTTTTTTAAGTCTTGTCATCCTTTCTTCCCCACTCAAATGTGGACAATAGCTCATGAATTTCACAATGAATTTGGCCTGATCCTTTGCTTTAAGTCATTTACTTATATACATGCATTTAATTAATC